TCAACAACAAAAACATTCAAGCTTGTAACAAGAGTAAGATCTTGTAAGATGTTACATTCTAGTTAATTTTTGGGTGCCTTAGAACATAGGCAATCAACAAAAATCCATGGAAGGAAATAAAGGCCTTTGAAATGTGGATCCAAGATGTATGCTTAAAGTTCTATATGCAGTTTCTAAGACAGATAAAGAGGAGCTTCAAATTGCAAGCGCAAAAAAGACCTATAAAAAATGGCATCCAGAAAAGAAAATGTCAACATTTCGGCTTTTGATTAGAGCAGAAACGCTACAGCATTTTTTCCTTGTGGGCAAAGTGGATGGCAGCAGAGAGGGGGGTTAACTTGGGCACAGTGGATGTCAGACATCGTGGTATAGATGCATTTGAAATACTGTGGATGTGTGAGGATAGCACAAGACAGAGGAGTGTGACATGTCAATTCGACATATCTCCTGAGATAACAAGGTATAGAGCTGGATGAACACAGCAGGCCAAACAGCATCAGAGGAGCAGGAAAGCTGATGTTTCGGGCCTAGACCCTTCTTCAGAAATGGGGAAGGGGAAGGGGATTCTGAAATAAATAGGGAGAGAGGGGGAGGCGGAGGCGGATAGAAGATGGATAAAGGAGAAGATAGGTGGAGAGGAGACAGGCAGGTCAAAGAGGCGGGGGTGGAGCCAGTAAAGGTGAGCGTAGGTGGGGAGTTAGGGAGGGGATAGGTCAGTCCAGTGAGGACGGACAGGTCAAGGGGGCAGGATGAGGCTAGTAGGTAGGAGATGGGGATGGGGCTTGAGATGGGAGGAGGACATAGGTGGGAGGAAGGACAGGTTAGGGAGGCGGGGACAAGCTGGGCTGGTTTTGGGTTGCGGTAGGGGGAGGGGAGATTTTGAAGCTTGTGAAGTCCACATTGATACCATTGGGCTGCAGGGTTCCCAAGCGGAATACGAGGTGCTGTTCCTGCAACCTTCGGGTGGCATCGTTGTGGCACTGCAGGATGCCCAGGATGGACATGTCGTCTAAGGAATGGGAGGGGGAGTTGAAATGGTTCGCGACTGGGAGGTGCAGTTGTTTGTTGCGAACCGAGCGTAGGTGTTCCGCAAAGCGGTCCCCAAGCCTCCACTTGGTCCAGATGTGGCCTCCTCTACATCGGGGAAACCAAGCGGAGGCTTGGGGACTGCTTTGCGGAACACCTACGCTTGGATGTGTTGTCCCAGTCGAATTCGTGTCCTTTTTTCCATGCATATTGAGATCAGTGAGAATTAGTCTTGTCTCTTGGTGGCTAGTTGGTGCTCGTGTATCCTTATTGTCAGTTTTCTTTCAGTTTGGCCTATGTAATGTTTTTCACAGTCCATGCATGATATTTTGTATATTATGTTGATTTTATTGGTTGTGGGTATGGGACCTTTTATGTTCGTCAGTAGCTGTCGTAGGGTGTTGTTGGTAAGTGGGCTACCTTGATACCTAGGGGCCTGAGTAGTTTGGTGGTCGTCTCTGATATGTCTCTGATGTACAGTAGGGTGACTGGTGTATCTGGCCATGTTATTTCGTCTTGTTGCGGTCTGTCGCAGAGCTAACAGCGGATTGTGCTTTCGGGGTATTGATTCCTTTTAAAAACACCGTATAAGTGCTCCTGTTCTGCTTTGTGCAGTTCCGGGTTGCTGTGTTGTGGCTCATTTGAATAATGTTCCGATGCAGCTCCGTTTATGAGTTACTGGCATAATTAAGTATCTGGTCCACATGGGTTGTCTTTCTGGATATGCTGGTCTGGAGTTCCCCCTTGTTCTTACGTTCCACCATTACGTCTAGGAAGGGTAGTCAGTTATTGTTCTCTTCCTCTTTTGTGAATTTTTTTCCAGTGAGCATGTTGTTTATGTGTTGGTGGGTTTCTTCTATTCTTGTGCGTTTGATAATCATGAAGGTGTCATCTACATAGCAGACCCAGAGTTTGGGTTGAACAGTGGCGAGTGCTGTCCATCTTAATCTTTGCTGTCCTGATGTCGGGGTTCCCATTGGTGTTCCACTGATTTGTTTGAATATACAGTCGGCTGAGAAATGGAAAATAGAGTTTAATATAGATAATTGTGAGGTGTTACATTTTGGAAAGTCAAGTCAAGGTGGGACTTTCAGGGTGAATGGTAAGACCTTTAAGGAGTGTAGTGGAACAGAGGGACCTTGGAGTTCAAGTATATGGCTTTCTGAAAATGGAGTCCCAGGTAGACAGGGCAGTAAGAAGGCTTTTGGCACACTCTCCTTCATCAGTCAGGGCATTGAGTATAGAAGTTGGGAAGTTATGTTGCAGTTGTACAGGACGTTGGTGAGACTGCACTTGGAGTATTGTGTTCAATTTTGGACACCTTGCTATAGGAAGGATGTTATTAAACTGGAAAGAATACAGAAGAAATTTACAAGGATGTTACCAGGACTCAAGGGACTGAATTCTAGGGAGAGGTTAGACAAGCTAGGACTTTTTTCTTTAGTGTGTAGGAGACTGAGAGGGGGATCTTATAGCAGTGTGAAAGATCATAAGAGGCGTGGACAGAGTGAATGCATTCAGTCTTTTTCCCAGGGTTGGGGAATCGAGGACTAAAGGGCATCAGTTTAAGGTAAGAGCATAAAGAATGCATGGGAAACTTTTACACAGAGGGTGGTATACCTACGGAATGAGCTGCCAGAAGAAGTGATTGAGGCAGGTACATTAACAGCATTTAAAAATTGTTCGGACGAATACACGGATAGGAAAGGTTTAGAAGGATATGGGCCAGGTGTAGGGAAATGGATTGAGCATGTATGGGCATTTTGGTCGGCATTGACCAGTTTAGGACAAGGGCCTGTTTCTGTGCTGTAGGACTCTTACTGTAAGAACTCATGGTGCTGGAGGGTGTATATTTGTGTTGATAGAAAATTAGCTAATGGGCAGGAAACAGCGAGTGGGGATAAGGGGTTCTTTTTCAGATTTGCAACCTGTAACCAGTGGGGTTCTGCAGGGAACAGTGTTGGGTCTGCAACTGATTACAATATATATTAATGACTTGGAGGACGGAAGTGAATGTACTGTAGCTAGATATGGAGACGACACAATAGGTGGAAAGGCAAGTTGTGAGGGGGATACAAACAATTTCTAGAGAAATATTGTCAGGTTAAGTAGGCGGGCAAAAAAGTTGGCACATGGAATATCATATGGGAAAATGTGAAGTTGTTCATGTTGGAAGGGAGAGCAAAAGAACGTGATATCATTTAA